GAGTGGAGGACAGGAGGGGGGAGGGTGGGGTGGAGAACAGGAGGGACAATCTCTATACAAAAATAATCGGCGTGAGGCAAGAAACTCAAACGCTCGAACACGCATCGAGAATAACGCTATGGTACAAAGTCGACGAGATAATACTTTTCTTTAACGAGATTAGACTGATTATGATCTTTTCTCACTTCTCTCAAACTCCGAACTCTCGTTCTCTCGCCCATGCACACGGACATACACTTTCTCTTTCTCTCTCCTCTCTCGTTCCTTATTCTTCACTCTCTCTGTTCTCTTTCACTCTTTCTCTTTCGCTCCTCTCGTCTCTCCCTTTCATTTTCTCTCTACCTTTCGCTCCCGCATTCGCATCCTCTCTCTCTCTCTCTCTCTCTCGCTTTTTTTCACTTTCTCTCTCTCTTTCTCTCTCAGTCTTTCACGCACGCATTGTACGACGATGGCTACAATAATAATAGTTGTTACCGGATGTAATAAAACGTAAACACACTAACTTGCGAACGAGACCTCTCGGGGGAGGCATCTGTCATGCGTTACGCGCTCGCTCGTTCGCGCGCGTGTAGAATTATTTTACGGGCGGTTCGCGCGCGCGACTTGGGAATCTCGGTGTGTGCGATTCTCGCTGCGAACGGCGCGCGGAGTGAGAAGATCGTCGACGGAACGGGATCGTACGGATCGTTCTCATCGAATTTCGTCAGGCTCTTTCGCGCGCCGCTCTTCTCGCTCAACCGTAATCGCGCGTTTATCTTCATTCGCCCTTTATTCGCTTACCGATCGAACGGCCGACGTAAAATTAAAAGAAAATATCTTACATAAGAAGAAAATCTCTCGATACTCTCACTCTCTATCTCTCTCTCTCTCTCTCTTTCTCTCTCTCTACAATGCGAAACTCATCATCTTTGGTAAACACTACTAAATAAATATCATCGCTTATACAGAGTAAGGGTTGTCGTGTCGAACCGAAACGGTAGTCGCGACGGTTCGCTCGCGCCTCGCCAGAGGGAAAAGAAGTGGGGAAAAGCAGGAGGGGGATCCAAAGACGTGCGAGAAACGCCGACTCTGGGAGTTCAGTCTTCGGGACGGTGCGTATCTGTCGACTCTTCCCGCTCGCGGAAGAGAGAGCTCCTACAACAGCTTCTCGCGAACGCGCCTGTCCCGCGACTCGCTCGACGAGGATGCAAGTCGCGCAACAACTTATCCGCACAGATCCCGATTCGTTTGCGATTTAACGTCGAGTGAGTACAGAGGCGGGGAGACAAGTCGTCAAATTGGAAAAATCAATGAGTCTGTGGACAGTATTCACAGGTGGATCTTATATTGAAGATCATCTCGAGTTTATCTTCAGGGGGTCGATTGCGTGTATCTCAAAACGAAGCGAGAATTACGAAAGTGAGGGAAAATTTACTAGAACACACATTTGTATAATTTCACTGGTCAACATCTAGTAAATCCGCTCACTTTTGTAATGTTCCGATAATTTTAATTATTCGTGGATTTCTCGGAACTTCATGATATTGTTCAATTGTTTCATGATAATGAAGGCTTCTCTGCGATGTTAATCCAAAGAAATGGGAAAAAAAGAGAATCTACGAGTAGGTCGAAAAGAATGATCCAGCCGAAATTCCATTATAATATCGAGACGTTATTTGACCCTTGTCCCTTGCTACTTGGAGCTCATTTCAATGGCTACGAAGCATCGGAAGATAAACCTGAAACGATCTTAAATATAAGATCCTACATGAACACCGATTTACGCGAGCTACCGCGAAGTGTGGCCGAACAACCTGTGCGCGAACTGCCGGTTCTCGCGTGCCGAACGCTACGGCGAAAGCGCGTCTGGCTGTGCGTGGATACGTACGAACGAAATTAGAAAGCCCCCAGTGATACACCGGCGTAATTTCGTCGGATTCCCAGATACCGCGCTCGGTACGAACGACGACGATCCCTCGCGCTTGCTCACAAAACGGGGAAGGGAAGAAAGAACGCGACACTCGACGCGGGCTATTCTCTTTCCTCGAAAGTTGAAGAGTCGTCGGAATTACGCTGCTTTCGATTAACGCCGTTGAAACGTGAACGAGTCCGCGTCCCGACCGTGTTATCCGGCGGTTCAACGCGTTCGATTCCCGAGATTTTCCGAGATAACATCGCGCTCTCGTGTGACCTTCGCGCGACACAAATAAGGACAAATATTAAAGGATGTCGCGGTCGGAATACGGCGCTTGAGGAAAATATTATACGCAATTCGTCGATAGTGGCTTAAATACTTCATTGCTCGTCGAATGTCTTATATAAGGTCTCTTTCCTTTTCGGACCGTCGATTTTCGTAGCGCAACCGGCATCAGAAAGCGAACCTTAGTCTTCCGACCGCGTTTCCTAAGAACACAGTTTTGGGTATAATTTATGAATCCTTCATGGAACTCGGGAGCAAGAAGAGAATGATATCCTACAGATGCGATTATGATCTTATAAATACTGACATGATGTTTATTCAACAAGGTTTTCGATCATATTACCCGCGATACATCTGGACAAAATAAAAACGTTTGTAAAGACGCTAAAAAAAAGAAGATGTACCGAAGAGAAATACGTAAAAACTACTATTTAATACCAAGTCAATAGAGCAGCAGCTGTGCCCTGAATTGAGTACATGAAAAATTGCGCGATAAGGACCTGCGTATTAAAACAATACAGCGAAGCAACTTCTCTCGTGCTTACGATTTAATATCGCGTTCATAACGTCAATTGTAGACTGCAAATAACGAGGTCTCCGCCGGCGATAAAACAAAACAAAATATCTTATATCTGACTCTTATTTCGCCCTTCGCATCTTTATTAAAGATGATTTTTGTTCAAGGATGACTTCGCTCGAGGATGAATCTTGGTCAAAGATTTTATTTGGTCAAAAAGACGACACTTTCGCCAATTCGTGCTCGTTAACCCTTTAACTCCGAGCACACCGGCGTAGCGTAGCTCCCCGTGGGGGCGGAAAAACGTGAAAACAAAAAATGTTTATCTTTCATCATTTGTTAAGCCAAACCCGGATCACAGATATAATAACGCTGGTTATGCGTTGGCTACTGAATCAAAGTCGCTTCACGGCTGTTGTAAGATCGTTGACTTCAGAGCCGGAGTTGGAGGGTTTTGATCGGATTAAAAAAGAAAAAAGACGCGACCGAAGTAAACATATTATTTTGCACCGCGTATATCCTTCCGAATTTCGTTGACGTGTGTCCGTTTACCTTTCGTCCTGTCGCCACTTTCGTTTCGTTCGTGCCGAACGAAGCAAAGTCGCCGTCGAGAGACTCTCGCCCTTGGACTCCGTCGTCCATCGCTGCGACGCGAGTCGATCGGTCGTCGTTCATCAAGCGGTATCATCGCGGCGACGGCGGTTTTCTCAAATCTCGGCCTCGGACGAGTCGCGGATCTTCTCAGTCGCGTGGCAAATAAACCTATCCCTAAACGCTATGTCACATTAAACTCCACGAAAATTCCCTACTTACTCCGTCCGTCTCTGCCTATTCACTAAAATAGCCTCTGTTTCTTCGCCGTTCTCTTACGCACCGTTTTCTCATCCCCTTTTTTCTCGCTCTCTCTTTCGCACTCCCAATCTATCGCGCGTCTCCTCTTTTTCCACGCGAGAATCATCCGCGCGTCGATCGCGGAATCGGGCAAGTGTTGCGAAACAATTCGAAGGAGTTTCCGATGGCGCAATCATTCCGCCACTCTCCGTAGATTTCTACCGCGTCGTCTAGGAAAAACAGGAGATTTCTTCCGACCGGAAACCTTTCCGGACAGTTTCACGAGGCCGGATCTACGATGCAGTGAGCCTTTAGCCTTTAAGCACTATGTCGTAACGTAATTTCTAGAAGGAAAAAGAACCTTCTCAGCGCTACCAGACGTCGCAATTCTCCGAATTTGAGTGTTATTACGACTTTTGGCAGCGCGGAAAGCACCTTTTGCCAGAAATCACGTTACATTTTGCTGCTCGGGGCAAAAAGCCAAAGGCTCGCTACATCTATCGTAGGATCCGGACTGACGCAAGTCCTGTGGGCCTATTTTGCACCTTTCAAGACGAATCGTCGCTACGCTGTCATCGCGCAGGCGCAACATATCGTAGAGATGCCGCGCAATGCCGACGTGCAGGACGATGACGACAACACCGTGTCGTTAAAAGTCGCAAAATACGGCTGCCGACGACTACCGCCGGCGTTAAATCACTCGCTCGCCGCGCTCGTGTCGAACGATCGAGCGAGCCCGCCTACCGACGGGCAGTGAACGCCGAATTGAAGCGCGACTCGCGGTACAATCCACGCAGCGGGTCGCAACCAAGGAAGACCCATAGACCCTTCACCGTTTCTCCGAACGAGCTTTTCCTCTCCCAAACGACGGAACTACCCGCGTCATCGTCGCTCTCGCTATCGTCGATCTCGCGGAGATCTCCGTTGATCCTCGGAGTGCCGACGGTTCCGGCGACCGCGCGGACCCGCTCGGCGGCTGCTGAGAACCGCTTCTCGCCGAGACGCTCTTACATTCTGCGACGAGTCAACCGTATTCGCGACACGACACGAGACCCTACGATCACCCGGGGAAGATATCGTCATCAAAGATGAGACATCTACGAACGCAGTTACGACGCGAGGCTCTCCTCGAAAAGCGTGCGCGCCGTTTTCTTCCTCGTCGGTCGATCCTCCTCCGTCTTTCTCGACGTCTTCGACTCCTGGTCGTGGCGACGACACGCTTAACACGACGAGCTCTTGAGTTCGCCGATGTCAGCGATGTTCTGCAGCAACGGCGCGGCCTCGCCGACCGCCTGCGACTTGGCGTTGTAGCGTTGCTTGCTCAACGCCGACAGCAGGCTTGCGTTCGTCGACATCAGACGCGAATTCGCGGCGCCCAGGGCGGCTATTTGCTGTTCCTGCGCGTCGATCACGCGCTGCTTGTACGACAACGCCGCCGACATCTTCTGCTGCTCGCGACGTAGCTCCTCCTCCACGGAGATTAATCTGCGGGCAAAAGTGAACGGTCGTTACCATCTTCGGGATCGGATGCGGTCGCGTGAGAGAAAGAAAAATAGAGAGAGTAAGATAAAAAGTAGAAATGCTCGCAAAAAGCTACGGCAGCGCGTCCCGTCGACGTAGGTGCTCCTCGAAGCGATCCTCACTCTTCGGCAGGCCGAGGGTCTTCTCGCGACGCGAGAAAGAGTGAAGAACGTCGGGCAGCCAAGCGCTCGTGGAATCGAGCTTCGTGAACGTCTCTCGAGTCTTCGAGTTCTCTTTGATCCGCTTAATTTCGCGTGGCTTTTCGAACTCCCTCCTTCAGTTCAAAATCAAATCTCTTTTCGATCTGATTGGTTCATAGTTTCGAAAGCTCAGAAAAAAAAACCCAGGTTTTCCCAATTTTTTAGCGGATTCTTTTTGGTTTTTTTTTTTAAATCTTTCTCACGAAAGTAAAAAAATGATAAGTTTTAACTGAACACACGTGAATTTTTCTAAACGAATTTCTCCACCCTTGGGACAGAAACCGAAGAAATCCGTTGAAAATTTGTGAAAAAAGAGACCCGGTATTTCTCCAAACCTTAGATATACGGATTAGCTTCACTTGGCATGAATTTCCCTCCTTCAGCCGGAGACTAAAGACCGAGAGACGCTGCGACGAAGTCGAGCAGGAGCCAAGCGCACCACGATGCATGTTTAATTAATCAAACAACATCGACAGATCGAAAATCAAGCTGCAAGAAGCGAGAGTGTGTCTGGCGAACAATTTCGTAGATTGAACGGGACACGAAGGTGGAGGAGGTCTTGCTGGAACTCGCCGGGGAGCTATGTAGTGTGTCCCGCATCTGCATAGCTTCCGCAGCGAGCATACTGCGCGTGGGGGAGAGAGAAAAAGAAATGTCCACACGCTTATTGGTGAGAGAGAGAGAGAGAGAGAGAGAGAGAGAGAGAGAGCTGCGGGGCGCAATCGGCTCGCGCGTGACCGGACATTTCTCTTTCTTGGTGACGCACACCGTGATTATTGCTCGGGATACAGAACATCCGTGCAGCACGAACGTGTTTGGAAACGTGTGTTGTGAGGCGTGTCAGTGTTCGATGAGCGACAATCGATCCGGTGAAAAGTGGACGAGGTTGACGGTGACGACGATGTCGGTGAACGCGCGAGGAGTTTCGGACGCGAGACGTGTGGACACGCTTTTCCCGGCTTAGCAACTCCGGACACAACGATCGCGCGGCAGTGTTTTCTCGGTTAGAGACAGTAAGAGACAGTAATATAAGAGAGAGAAAAAGATAGATATATATATTATATGTATATATATGTATATAGTATATGTAACGATGAGAGAGAAGCTAACATTGTGAATGTAAAAAATATAAGAAAGCTTAGAAATATGATTGACTCTTACACCAAGGTCCAGATCAAGCCAGAGTATACCAAATGCAGCGGATAGAATGCACAGGAACACACAATCAGTTAAACATACATCATTTCGATAAAGTAGCCGTTCATAATACGGGTGAGTGTGTTTCCCCTCATTAGTTCCGTTAGACATAGAAAAAGTGGTACACGCGATTAGAACGTGGCTCATCTCGTGGCAGTACGCGAGTAACAAAATGGACGCGACATACTACGTATCCTTCTCGAAGCCGATATCTAAAAGTCACGAGATCGGTGACGCGATCGACGCAAAAATCTACATGAATCCCGCGCACTCCGTTAAACCGTGGTCACTTTGGAAGCGCAATTAGCTGAATCCGAGAGCTGCCAATTCGTATCCGTCGCTCCTAGAAGAGAAGAGAGAGAAAGAGAGAGAGAAAGAAAGAAAGAGAGAGAGAGAGAGACTACGGAGTTTCTAATTTTTCTTTTCTCTTACGGAAATTCCGAATGAATCTCATGACGAGAGTTGAGAAAAATGAGGAGATATGGAAGATCAAATGGTTGAACATGACGAGAGACGTCGAAGTGAGAAAAAAAAAGGAAAAAAAAAAAGACGCAGATAAGAAAGTGATAATAATGATCACGGTGGTACAGGGTTCACACTCAGGCAAAGAGATATCCGGTGGTTAGCGGCTAGGTGGGGAGAAGATGGGGAATCAAGTACCTGGAAATGATGCTCTTCATGTTGGTGTCCGGCGCGAGGTCTATATCGGCATCCTCGTTGGCGCCTAATCGCGCGCGCAATCGCAGCCGATCTACGCTATTCTGCAGCCTCTCCACTTCGTACATTTCCACTTCGTACTGGAAACGAAGAGAGACGTGCGTCGTGTTAGTTACAACGAGGGAGCGCATACCGCGGAGGAAGAGAACAACGATGGACATTCGTAAAGAGTTATCGACAGGTCGCGGGAATCGAATAACGCGACGAGTTAAGAGAACATTCGTTAACGAGTTAACAGCAGACCCACAGAGCGAAGCCGACAGTCGGTTATTCACAGTATTCAGTTTTGTGTCCGGATGCCGAAGAATTCGAGACGTTCTGCGAGATCGTCTTCAGCCGCGAGAAACGTTCTTACGTTTCGACTTCGAGTTTCATTCGGAACCGACATCGTCTGGATACCCGATTATTCGAACGGCAGATAAATATGAGGCGCTTCAAACCCGGGTGATCCATGTAAGAGTCCAGACCAGAATCGAGATCCGGATTTAGAAGTTCACAGCGGAGTCGATCAAACAGACACGATTGTAACAATTTAGATCCCTTTCGAATATTTAATAATAACAATAATAATAATATTTATTTATGGGAAAGCACTATTTGTGATTATAAAAATAGGCATCATACTTATAAGAATACAGAAGAAAAATGTTCAATCGACGTTTGTAATTTTAAAGGCTCGGAAGAACCTGATTTTTTCGCAGTTTCTTTACGCGAAAAGAATGGGAAAACCTCGTTTTTTAATTTCTTCCATTTTCTCGGTTTATTTCCGCGGAAAAATAAAAATCAAACGGTTATTTTAACACTATATTGACGTTACATTAAAAAAGCAATTACAAATTAATAATCAAATACACACACAATATACCAGAATGAAACAAATAAGCAGAAGAAGAAACAATAAATTAGTACGTAAAGCAATACATAAAAAGCGACTGTGAGATAACCAATCGGTATCGAGGAAATAAATATTCGAGAGGGATCCAAGTTGCTGTGATCTCTTCGGTCGACTCCGCCGCGAACTGAGATCTCCGACTTCGGATCTTGACTCTGGGGTATCAATCATTTCCCCCAGAACGGAAACGTGAAAAGTGGGATGTTTTAAATGAAACAAATTACGCTCGCCACGTTTCCGCGCTAAGAGAAAAATCAAGCGATCGATCGATACTCTTGTATATAAATTACCTGGACTACACCAGAATAGTGTGGATATGAGTTGTCGGATCGAAATAGATTTCGGCTATCCGATCTAGACTTCGACGAAAAGCTTACCTGATCGATACTTCGGTGACTGCGCGACTTGCTCCTCCTGGTGGTGCAATTCTCCTCCTCACTGGTGTCGGACAGGTCCCTCGTCGAATCCAAGGAGAGCCTCCTTCTCAGCTTCGTGCAGCAGACGTCCTGCGTATGCTCCGAGTTGTTCCTGTGCGGCTGATTGCCCTGCCGCCACTGGTTCTGACTATTCCTCTGAAGGTTCCGCACGTTGTTCTTGGGCGGTGGCGACGGGCTCAGGTCGACGCCTCTCACGCTCTCGACGCCACCGCCGCCGCTGCCTTCTCTCTCCTCGGAGCTGCTGCTGTCCCTCCTGCCTGTCCTCGCGTGATTCGACTCCATGTGGTAGACGGGATTGGCGAAGGCCAGGGGCGCCGCGCTCAGGATATGCGGGTTCGCGTTGTTGCTGCTGAGGTCCACCGGGCTGGAGCTCTGGCTGTAAGCGGCGAAGCTCTGATAGCCGGACGACGCCACGTTGCTCAGCTGCGAGATGGAGATCTGCGAGCCCTTCTGCGACTTTGACTCCGACACCTCGTCGTCCGCGTATCTCAGAAGGTCGGACAGCTCGTCGAGATTCCCGTTGGCGGGCGCGTTGTTCGCCTTGGAGGAGGTGTTGTTGTAGTTGTTGTTGGGCTGATGGTTGATCGACAGGGTGAGATTCGTGGGCGGATTCACGACCACGTTGGCGTTCACCGTGGTCTTCGATACGTTGTTGTAGTTGCGCTGCTGCGTCTGATTGGCGTTCTCCTCCTTGTGGCAATGATTCCGGCTGGCTGACCTCGAGACGTTGTAGTTGTTATGGTTGTAATTATCCTCCCGGTCATGAATGTCGAGGCTCTGCAAGCGCGCCATGTTATGCCGGTGTTGCTGCTGCTGCTGAGAGACGACGCTGCCGTTGCTCGGCTGGTTGCTCTGCGGCGAGGTGATGTTGTAGTTGGAATCCTTCAGGTTACTGTGACTCTCGGAGCGCGTCGGGCTGGTCGGGTGCGCCTGGCAGTGATTCACGTTCGCCAAGCTCGCGCTGGCCGTCAGTCTGTAACCCGGCCCGGAGCGGTTCTGCCCGAGCGGCCTGTGTTGCCGCGTGATCGGCGTCGGCGAGCGCGATACGAACGCGGGCGGCTCGAACGGGTAGTCGTCCGAGCTGATCTGCAGCTGCAGCTTGCCGTTCGTCGGCATGTAAGCGTTTCGCGGTAGAGTCGCCGCTCTGGCGACGTTCGGGCTACGCGAGCTGTTGTGGCCCAACGTGTTCGTCTGCAGTACCTCGTTACTGTCCCTGATCGTGCCGTTCAGCGTGCTGTGGTTACTCAAGGTCGACGTGGCCGAGATGGAGAGATTCGTGTTGCTGTTGGCGATCGTCGGGTCGTTGTAGCGGAAGATGTTGTTCTGCAGATTCGGGTAACGATGCGCGGCGGGCACCGGGCTCGGGCCCGGTTGGTCCAACGCCAGGGAGATCCTGTCGAGGATCTCGGGCAGTCGTGACGGCGGCACGGACGGCGAGCTTGGCGCGGTCACGCTCTCGCGCAGAAGCGCATGCAGCAAAGACAGCTGCTTGCCCAGATCTATGTAGCCGTCGAACTCGAGAGAGTTATTGGCCGGCGCGTCCTTTGGCAGTGGGCTCTGTGCCGGGCAGAAAGAGACGTTTCACTCCGACGTGCGTCGTCGTAGGAGAAGAATGGATTAATAAGCGTACGGAACGATTGTGTGATCTCGCGTACAGATACGCGCGTAATTACAATGCGATGTGCTAATGAGAGATTCTTACGCTAATTAGTTGCAAGAAGTTCTTCATAGACGGAGCCTCGCGCTCGAGCAGGTCGTTCATGAATTCCATGAAGTTCTCCTTGCCCTGGAATCTCGTGAAGTTCGCGAGCGTCTGCAGCGTCTTCGCCACCAGGGTGAGATTCCTCGCTGCTTTCTCGTTCGGATATTCTGAAGCGAGAGATACATTTTTCTCTTCGTAAAAAAGACGGTGTAATATCGTCCAAGTTACTTTTCCACGCAACGACTTCGGCCGTTCATGTCGAAGGAAATATGCACGTTGACAACGCGTCGTCGTGTTATCACACTGAGATGAGAGTTAAGATAATCGCGCTGTGACTCACCGTGCGTGATGTTGAAGAGAGACGGACTGAGAATGGCGGGACAGAGAAATCTCAGGAAGATCGATGCGGAGATGAGATTATCCGCAATGTCCTCGCGGCCCAGGTCGGCCAGGCGTTCGCGGAAGATGCGGAAGCATTCGCGCAGTTCAAGCGGGAAGTGAGCGTGGCTCGACAATATCCTGCTCCATGCCAGCTCGACGGCGTTGCGCAGGTTCTGCTGTTGCTTATGCAACGCGGCGACAGAAGCGACCTTGAGTGGATCCACCTCGCAATCGCCACCTTCGACGGCGCCTCTCACAACGGCACCCAGTGTCTCCTGCAGATACCTGTCCCCGGTCAATTTCAAGTAAGCTTCCATCGCCTTCGTCGCCAGCGAGTTGCCTCGAAACGTGAGTCTCTCGTCGTCTGAAATGATCGATTGCCAATTGGATAAATTTGAAAATCAATATGACATGATCAATTCGTAATCGAGCGATGCAAAAGAGATTGGCGAAAAACCAAGTTCCTTGTAAAAAAATTTAAAGAACTAAGAAATTAAATTTGAGAAATTAAATCATCTATGATATGCCCCCGAAATGGTAAATAATATATTGGGCCAGGAGAAACTAAAGTATGGATATTTATATTATTTTAAATATTAATATTATCTGTGGAAGAATAAATGCATTCAGCGTCTAACAACGTACGTGCAGAATATTCCCAGACAACGGTACGCAGTGAATCTTTCCGCTTCCGCTTCCGCTTAAACTAATCTTTGAGTTTCAGTAATATTGACAATATCAACGTTAAAATAATATTGACAATATTAATATTTAAAATAGCACTGGAACATCCGTGCTTTGGCCTTTCGTTTGGTCCGATACATTCTTGAAAAACTTAAAAATAAAACTAAAAGCTCGTAATTGGATTTTTTTTTACATTTACAACTGCGAGCCTAATTCTTCTTAGTCTTTCTTTTCTAATTAGTATTCTCATTGTATGTATCGAGGAATCAAAGTAACATCCTTCAAATTACGAATTAATCGAATTATTCGACTGCAAGCAATAACGATCCATTGTTCTAAAATGGGACGCGCCAACGTCCTCATATACGAGATGCAGTCGCATGAATAGAATAGAAGACCGACCTATTCGATGAATGTCCATCATGACGAGGTCAGCGAGAAATTGCGGCGCCTTCTTCTCCCGCTGCATTACCGCCACCAAAGCGGTCGCGATGTCCTCCTTCGCCTTGACGCCAATAACGGGCTCCAGTTTCTCGCAGAGCGACGCATAATCGGTCTTCAGATATTCTAGAAATTCCTGATATACCTGAACCGGCAGTATGTCAACTGACTGGAAGCGGCACTTCACTCTCAGTGCGGGTGGCTCCTTGAGGGGTCCCTTGTCGCCTACCACGGGATACCATTTCTCCGTCAAGTAACGAGACGTCACGTTGTGCACTGGTATACTGACGGAACCTGCAAAGGACGGGTGGATCAAAATACATTAGACGCGTGTACGTCATATTACGCGCGTCCTGGCCAATTCGAAATTCGCACTATACACTTCGTTACGAGAATTTCCTATCTACGTTCATAATATCTTAATAAACTTCTCTCGCGAGAGAATCGTCTGAAAAGATTACAGACACGAGTGCGGAATTGGTGACGCTTCGATCATGTAAATCATCAGCTCGTGTTTCTCGCGGACGTCTTCGGAACTCGGTAGACTCGCTTACCGATTAAAACATTTTTGTCCCTCTTCTTCTTCCTATCCGCCTCCCTGTACAAATTAACCTGGATAGTGTTGACGGAGGGCAAGTGGTGGAAGTCAAAGTGCTCGCCCCAGAAGCACAGATCAGCCTTTAGCTTGGCAGTTGTTCGCGCGTACAAGGTGCTGTCGAGGCAGACCTCGCAAAAGTATCGCTTCTTCGCGGGTACGCCCTTCGCTTCCAGCAACCAGATCTGTAGGGAGTTGTCCGTTCGGCGTGTCTGCTCCGCGTCTGGCTGAACGGATTTCCGCAAGCTGCGTCGGAAAGAAAAAAAATTGAACATCCGTACATTTCTTCATTCTTGGAGAGTCGACAGTTTATCTGTGAAATTGCTATCACGAATTGTGCGCGTAAAATCTGATACGTCGCAGATAGATGTTGAAAACTCGTGAATAGAAATCCAGTGGGGGAGAGAGGGAGGGAGGGAGGGAGGGAGGAAGAGAGAGAGAAAGAGGGAACTTACAAATTACTTCCAATAAAAACTTATAAATTTCTTTCTCCTTTCCGTTCGTAGAGTGATAGCTAATACAATTATATTATCGCCAAAAGTCGATATCAAGTGACTTTTCACTTATAGAGTAGAGCAAATTCCTCATTCCAAGTCGTCAAGTGAACATTTTTATTTGAAATTGAAGAGTGAGTCTAAAGTGTGATCCATTGTGACGTGATCACAGAAATAGATTCACCCTGATCGACTGAAACATTTATTTATACGTATGAAGAATCTCTAACGCCAGTTTTACAACCTTCAGTTGACTTAACCGGCCGGTTAAATATCAATAGTGATTGGTTATTTCTGGTCAATGCTGCTTGACGACAAATGCGATTGGTCAATTCCAATGGAATAATCAGCCGATTAATTTATCTGGAAGTTATGAAACTGGCTAAGTTTGAATGAGACTTCGCACCGAGAAATTTCAAGAGAAAACTCTGTCGAGAACCTTTAGATCGTTCAAAAGTCGGTCGTAACAATGGCCTATTTATCACAATGACACACATAAGCGCCTAATTATAGCACTTGAGTCGCGTACAAGCACTCCATCGGTTCTCGAGTCATTTGACGTAAAGCATCGTGACATCTCGTCAAATGTCATACGTTCACAGCAGCCGCTTGGGGCCGCCGCAAGGCAAATCTAGGACATCTTTGCGAGCGTTTCTCTTTCTCACTCTCTCTTTCATCGATTTTTTAAATCTAGCAATACTCCCGTAATGATTGCCTTCTAAATGCTTGAACTAGATTCAACTTGATCGAAAAGTAAAATTACATCTTTTTTGTTTCTTTGTTTACTTCAAATTGTAATTTCAAATTATTCTCTGCATTCCTTTTTCCTTCTGAGACCCTCTAAGGGGACTTTGCCTTAGAGTTAATAGATTTGCAACGCAGTTCGTATCCAATAGGAAAATGTATTTCTTGAAAATTACTAAAAAAATGAATTCTCCTATTGCACATCGAAAGCGTTACGGAACTCATCGAAAAAAAATGTTGCAACTTTTATCATATCGATTGTATAAAAGTGGTCCTCTTATGATGATACAGCTTTTTTCTAGATGGAGTAGCTTTAAAGATCTGAAGGTTTGAAAATTTGGAAAAAAAACTATATGATTCTATTAAAAGAAAAAAGAAAAAAAAGTATTTGTATGCACAAAATAAATATACAGAAATTGATTTGTAAAAAAAACCCGTTTTCAATAAAGAAAAAAAGCAAAAGTGACGTTCAGATCTTTGAGGCTAGTCCACCTAGAAAAAGCGTTACCATCATAAGACAACCGCTTCTGTACCATGTAATTAGATAAATTTTTCTCTTACTTTCACAGTTTCGAAGATATTCAAAATGGTAATAATTATTGCCTCGTCCTGGATAACCTAGCGGCGAAGGAAAAAGGAACGAGATTCCATTGCAACACTAATTCAACTAAAACAGACAGATCTAATAAACATATTTATCTATCTATCTATTTATTTATCTGTATATCTTTCACGGCAAATAACCGACGTGTCATGATCGTATGACGAAAACGAGTCGCCGGGTAAGTAAAATGATCGAGCCGAGCTGAAGCGGATGAACGATAAATAAAAGCAAACGACAACGTCTGTCCATCCGTCGTCCCACCGACCTGTGCAACCACTGGTCCCGTTCGTGAGCGGTTCTGCAGCTGAAATACTTGGGTCCGCCGGTGCTCGGAGTGACCTGGAAGCAGTGCGGCCTGCCGAGGAGACTGGGATGCAACGGCGTCACCGCCGCGAGGTCCATCGAGGTCACCGCCTGGCCGCACAGGAGGGACTCGTGCGATCTGCAACCCCGAAGCCCTGCGCCCCGTTGCTTCTGTCGCTCGAGTTTCGTTACGCTCTTCGTCCTCTTCAAGGGGTTCGAGCGGAACGACCTCTTCGAGAAGAAGTTCTGAAACACGAGTGAGCGTGATCCCCTCGATTAGAAGAGCGTCGTGTGCTGGGAATACTTGCGATAATATCTAACGCGCGACCGGCGCGAGGAAACGTCACGTCACGACGAAGAAGAAGATTGTACACAGGATGATTGACAAAGAGGATCGACAGTTTCAACGGAACGTGTGCAATGCTCTTTCGTAAGAAGGGGCAATTAATGTCGGACCGATGTGGATCGAAAGAGTGAGCACTTGCTGAAAATAGAAGTGATGATCGCTTTCGGCGATACATGTCAGGCGTGATGTATGCTTTAACTCGTTATAACTATTGATGAGAATTTCAACTTTACACGTAATACGTAAAGCTGAACAATTTTGAGAAATCTTAGCGCAGTAGAGTAGTAGCCCCAGGGCACAAAATAAATTAGGCTTTAATAATAATAATTTTGCTTAACATTAGACATTAACATGTGTACAAACGTTTCGATGGTTTTCGCAAATTTTCGCTTTGTCTTCATACAGTCAAAAGACCAAAACTTTCGCACATATCTAATAATTAATGTTTTAATAACAATTAATTTATAAATAAGAAATAATATTAAAGCATGTATGGCGGCTGATGTACATATACAGAATGTCTAACAATTAGTGACACAACACTGCAAAATGATAGAGGTCTTTCCTGCTCAATTTGATCTACTTGTACACAAGCGTTGTGTCACTAATTGTCAAACACCCTGTATTTATATCGACAGACATGACACTCGGAGTTTTGTCATTTTTCGTTTCTCAGACAATTGTTTACCATCGCAGAGTAATTCGCTCCGCTTGTCTACCTTGGGAATTCGCTGTTTCCTTTAAGACCACCGGGAGAGAAAACAAGAATTTGGCCGCTTGCCATCGGCCGGAAAAAGTTGACATGCTTTCAAAATGCGACGGCACAGCACATACAGAAAACGTGAAGAGCACTCGCCCAACAAGACGAAGGGAAGCGAGAGAAAACTTCGCTCGGTCGCTTATTGACAATTTAACAGATATCCCTGGTGAAATCGGATTTTCGCCGTTGTTTTCGATGTTGAAGCAAAATGCGTAACGTTTTCTCTTTCTTCACAGTCCTTCGTTATATAACATATTCAGTTATTATTTGCTTTATTATTTAAGATAGTTGATCCGTAAAAGTGATGAATTTTTTATAAATAAGAATCAGCTACTACGCAAACGACATGAACAATATTTTCGGCAAAAATAACATAGATGTTAATGGAGATATGCATTATTAAACAACTGATTATTTTATTTGCCAAAAAATCAACTTTTTAAGTTTCGCTTAATTAAATTAATTAATTAAAATACTTAATTAAATTTAAATTAATATTATCAATGCGACGATATAATTTTACATGAATATTACAATTCCGTTTTCCAAATACCTATTAGGCCATTTAGGAAGAAAAGGAAACAATATATTTATCATCGAATATGCACTTCATGAAGAAATTCTAAATATATATGCGCAATTACTAATAAAATTGTATATAACTTTCTATAATAATACAAAACAGAAGATAAAATCATATACCATTGGTGTTAGTGCCCTAGATTGAATGACTAAAATTCAAATTCAAGAAGATAACTAAATGAGTTTTTTGATCAAAAATTGTACTAGTCTTTAAGTCTCTGTAGGGTTTATAAGTACGGAATTTATTTGGAATAGAAAAGAAACTTTCAATTGTACTGAGGACTTCTTGTATCTTAGTTATGATCTTTATCGTCTTGCTTGACGATATAATGATTAAAAGTAACGGACTGTTTACATCCTATAATACTGTTATAGAATTCAACCGGGTCTCCCCGACATTAAGTTCTGCTTGAAATCCTACGATCACATTTGATGACTGATACATATTCTCTTTCATATAATAGTAGTATGATATAATCACTATGTGATGATTCCAAGGACATTAATAATACTTGAATATGTTTCTGAGAGGCTCGGGAATTGTTGACAGTTAGAATTTTAACTAGTAATATGAGGAATTACTGATATCCGTTAAAAAGTAAAATATCGCAAAAAAAACTTAAAATGTTGAGATAGTCCCAAGAATATTAATAATAATTGATTAAATGAGTATGTCGGGAATGATGGACAGTCTAAATTATAACCGTCGTAAAGAGTTACAAATGTCCGTTAGGAGATATAGACCATAAAAAATAAATTAAAATAACCGGAGAAAAGCGTACATTATATTTTTCTTCTCAGTATTTATTTTTATATTTATTTTTAGGTAAACTTTGTTGAAATAATCGCAATACATAAATTATACACACTTCGTTGCAAAAATAATTTGCTGGGATTTTTAATTTAATTAATATAATTATTAATTATTAATTATAATAAAATAATCGCTTTTAATAATAAGAAAAAAAAATTTTTGTGAATAATTTTGTATAGGTAATAAATATTTTTCTTC